TTATTCCATGGAAGGAAAGTTATGACCAACCTAGACAGCATATTAAAAAGCAGGGAAAAAAAAGCAGAGACATTACTTTGCCAACAGAAGTCTGTCTAGTCAAAGCTTTGGTTTTTCCAGTAGTCATGTATGGATGTGATAGTTAGACTATAAAGAAAGCTGAGCACCAAAGAATTGATGCTTTTGAACTGTGGTGTTGGAGAAGACTCTTGAGAGTCCCTTGACAGCAAGGAGATCCAACCAGTCCATCCTAAAGGAAATCAGTCCTGAATATTCACTGGAAGGACTGATGCTAAAGCTGAAACTCCAATACTTTGGCCACCTGATGTAAAGAACTGACTCACTGGAAAAGACCCTGATGCTGGGAATGATTGAAGGTGGAAGGAGAAGGGAATGACAAAGGATGAGATGGTTGGATGGCATCACTGACTCCATGGACATGAGTTTGAGTAAGCTCTGAGAGTTGGTGATGGACAGGGAAGCCTGGCATACTGCAGTCCATGGGGTCAAAAAGAGTCAGACATGACTGAGCAACTGAACTGAACTGAACATGATCCTGCCCACCAGAGCAAGACTCAGGTTTTCCCACCACCACTCCCTCCCATCAGGAAGCTTGCACAAGCCTCTCAGCCTCCTCCATCAGAGGACAGACAGAAGAAGAAAGGAGAGTCCCACAGAGCCTACAACAGAAACCACATTACAGAAAGTTAATCATGATGAAAAAGCAGAAAGTTATGTCCCAGATGAAGGAACAAGATAAAACCCCAGGAAAACAACTAAATGAAGTGGATGTAGACAACCTTCCTGAAAAAGAATTCAGAATAATGACAGTGAAGATGATCCAGAATCTCAGAAAAAGAATGGAGAAGATGCAAGAAATGTTTACCAAAGACCTACAAGAACTAAAGAACAAATAAACAGAGGTGGACAATGCAGTAGAAGGAATCAGTAGCAGAATAGCTGAGGCAGCATAATGGATAAGTGACGTGGAAGACAGAATGGTGGAATTCACTCACTGCCACAAAGCAGAATATAGAAAAAAGAATGAATAGAAATAAAGACAGCCTAAGAGACCTCTGGGACAACATTAAACATACCAATATTTGCATTACAGGGGTCCCAGAAGGAGAAGAGAGAGAGGACCTGAGGAAATATTTGAAAAGAAATAGCTGAAAACTTTGCTAACATGGGAAAGGAAATAGTCAGCTAAGTCCAGGAATCACAGAGAGTCCCAGGCAGGATAAACCCAAGGCAGAACACACTGAGACACATAGTAATCAAACTGACAAAAATTAAAGACAAGATATTAAAAGCAAAAAGGAAAAATGACTAATAGCATACAAGGAAACTCCCATAAGATTATCAGCTGATTTCTCAACAGAAATTCTACAAGCCAGAAGAGAATGGCATGATATATTTAAAGTGATGAAAGAGAAGAACCTACAACCAAGAATACTCTACCCAGCTAGACTCTCATTCATATTTGATGGAGAAATCAAAAGCTTTCCAGAAAAGCAAAAGTTAAGAGAATTCAGCACCAGGAAACCCAAGATAAGGAAAAGATCTACAAAAAATAAACCCTAAACAATTAAGAAAATGGTACTAGGATCATACATATTGATAATTACCTTAAATATAAATGGATTAAATGCACCAACCAAAAGACATAGAGTGGCTGGCTAGTTGAAAACATGTGCTTGTATGCACTTCCGCTTACCACCTCACTCTGATTTTAACCCCCTAAATTGTATGTAATTATTTTGTATTGTTAGGTTAATCTTATTTCCATTATGGCTAGTGATTGTAATTATATTTTATTTTTTGTCTGGCTATGGATTGTGAAAACAGATAAACATCTTTTACTATTGTGATTATGTAACTATTACTCATTTAATACCTTTGTATCATGATTGATCAACAGAAAATAATAGAATTCTATATCACTAAAACTACCATTTAACAGAAAAACCTGTAATCACTTTTTAAAATTTTTTCCTTTATTTTTAATTGAATGATAATTGCTTTACAATATTATGTTGGTTTCTGCCACACATCAACATGAATCAGCCATAGGTATATGTATGTCCCCTCCCTCTTGAACCTCCCTCTCACCTCCCACCCCATCCCACCCCTCTAGGTTGTTATAGAGCCACAGTTTGAGCTCCCTGAGTCATACAGCAAATTCCCACTGGCTATCTGTTTTACATATGGTAGTGTATATGTTTCCATGCTACTCTCTCCATTCATCCCACCCTCTCCTTCCCCACCCCCAGCATCCATAAGTCTGTTCTCTATGTCTGCATCTCTATTGCTGCCCTCCAAATAGGTTCATCAGCACCATCTTTCTATATTCCATATGTATACATTAATTTATGATTTAACTTCACTCTATAAATAGGCTCTAGGTTCATCCACCTCAAATGCATCCCTTTTTATGGCTGAGTAATACATGTACCACAGCTTCTTTATCCATTCATCTGTCAACAGACATCTAGGTTGCTTCCATGTCCTAGCTATTGTAAATAGTGCTACAGTAAACACTGGGGCACATGTATCGTTTTTAGTTATGGTTTTCTCAGGGTATATGCCCAGTAGTGGGATTGTTGGGTCATATGGTTTTAGTCCTAGTTTTTAAAGGAATCTCTCTACTGTCTTCCATAGTGGCTGTATCAGTTTATGTAATTACTTTTTAAATCCAAATACACATTAGAATTATCTTGGAATTTTTTGAAAAATACAGATGCCCAGATACTGTTTTTTTTCTCCAAAGCTCCAGATGTGATTCTGATGAGCAGCCATGTTTAAAAACAACTGAACTATATGATGATCTTTTATTTTTATCTAGTTTCACTTTTTCTATTTCATTTAGTTTATGTTTTCCAATTTCTCTTTTTGTTGTTCTTTCTCAAGCCTTTATCAAGTGTAGTAGAAAAGGTTTTGTGTATATATGTATATGCATATATATATAATTTATATGTGTATATTTTAGAAAAATTATGAATTTTTCCTAGCTAAAAAATTTATGACATTTTGATTCCACTTGTTTGACTAAGTATGAGTAGAATGCTAGATTTCTAATTTATATTCACTCAAAACTTTAATACAATTCCATTTATTCTGGCATATACTATTACTGCTAAAAGTCTAAAAAGCTTATTATCTTAGTGATTTAAAAAATTTGAATGAGGCTTAAAACTTCTATTAAAATAATCCAATTCTGAGAATATAAAGAAATACTATGTTGTTTAAAAAACCGAAAATTTAACATGTGATACAATATTATTAACCTAATTACAGATTTTGTTCAAATTTCACAAAATTTTGCTAGTGTCCATTTTTTGTTCTCATATATTTTCAAGATTCCATATTGTATTTAGTTGCATTCAGCAACTTCAGCCGCATGCAATAAATTCTGATAAATTCTCTTTTCATTTTTATTCTGTTGCAGATACTTTCTAATTTTCCTTTTTACAGCTCTTAGATACACCCATCATTTAAAAGTGGACATGTAATTTCCAAATACATGGGTTTTTTTTTTTTTTCAGTATCTTTGATATTAATCTCTCATTTTGTTATTAATTTATTTAAATGCTTTCTTCTCTGCAATCACCCTGTGTTTTTTCAGTCTTTTAACTTTATTGAGGCTTTCAGTGGCTAAGTCAAAGGTCTCTTGGTACATGTCACATTGCATATGTGGGTTATTTTCAAATATCTTTTGATACTGATTTCTAACATAATTCCACAGTGTTTGTTAAAAACTCTTATGATTTCAAAACCTTTCAACCGTGAAATTTTTGCACCTTGTTTTATGTCCCTGGATATGTTCTACTGTCTCCTGGTTTATAGTCTTTGGGAACTTGAATAGAATTTGTATCCTACTGTTGTGTGAAAATTGTGTAAATCTTAATTATGTTGAGTTGGTTCATAGTGCTGTTTGAGTCTGCTGTATCCTTCTACTTTTCTGTCTATTCATTCTATTAATTTTTGAGAGTTTGATATTGAAATTCCAACTAAAAATCTGAAAAATACTTAATAAGTATAATATATAGTGGAACTCTATGAAACTTTGTTCTGTATTTTCTAAGTCTCCTATCATACATATGATATGTGATACGTGTTATCATACATAATTTAAAAAATAAAATGAAAGAAAAATTTAAAAAGAAATATGTCCTGCATTCATAGCTAGGTAGATACTGTCAACACAAAGATTAGTATTTTTAAATTACAATAAGTTGATTTCAAGTAAAACAGATTACTCTGTGTAATCAGTTTTTACCTTCAAAGCGAAAACTGAGGTCTCCTGGAGAAGGATTTCTGCCTCAAAATTCTTAACAGAAATTCTGCCTGGGTTTCCAGCCTACTGGCCTGCCCTAACAGATTGCAGACTCAAGATCACAACATCAAGTCCTACGTGAATTTATAGCCTGCTAGCCTGCTCTACACATTTCAAACTTGCCAACCCCTATATTGTGTGAGCCAGTTCCTTAAAATAAATCTCTATCGATACATGCAAAAAAAATAAAGATTAATATAAGTTCTGTTCCAAACACAGGACTGATTCAGGTCAAGAAAATTAAGAGATTCAATAAAACTGCAGATTCAGTAAAACTGATTCTTGACAAGCTTCTCTGAAAATTAGAGATAGGTATTGGGGAGATAATTGACTGAGGATAGCAACAAGGGAAGCTCCAAACAGGATACAGGTTTTTCTCCTGCTTCAGATAAAACAGAACTCAATGCAAGAGGGCTTCATTGCTTTTTTAGTTTATAGTCGCTTCATGAAGTCTTGCTATGGAACATGCTATAGCTGACAGAACTTAAAGGTGCTCTTCTCCTCCTCTTCCGGAGCACAGGATTGCTCACAGAAGCTATGGGTTTCTTCCTCGGTGTTGGCAGAGCACCCATTGTCTAATAATAATGGGATGCAGCTCTGATAGAATCAGTGCTACAGTGATTGTGACAGTAATACCTGTAAACCTATTGTTCTTGGATTTTAGGAAGGCTACCCAGAAATAGAGATTGTCTGGCTGATGATCAAGTCCTGGAATATTGGCATATTTCTGTACAGTAGACGCATGTATGTATCTACTGAAAAATGGTGCGGCCTGTCACTGCGTCTCCTTGACTGCCTTGGCCCCCTCAAGAGCACCTATGAAACTCAGGTGAGGAAGAAGAAGGTTAGGGGTGGATGGCATGACTCGGGATAGAGAGGTTCTATCTAGCTCTCAGTAAGGACACAACCCTACCTTCCTTGACTAGGAAAGGATCTTGACCATTGTTCCTCTTGGTAGTTCCATGAACTGCAAGAGTTATGGGACTATAAACAGTAATTTCTTATAGTGAAAACCAGGAAGAATGGCAAACAAGGCAAATTTAAGAATAGCAAATGGAATCTAATTAAGAAAAATGCCAAGGGTGAGCTCAGGAAAGATGTTATCACTGTCAATGCCAGTGCACATAGAGAAGACCTCCCTGCAAACAATGACTGTTTAAAAAGACATTTTCTGCAGGAATTCTTTTGAGCAGAATTATTTCTGGGCCCTTAGCTCACCAGGAGAGGCTTGATGGAGAAAAAGTTTTTGTATCAAATAAGAGCAAAGGGTATTTTATGTTTTAAGTACCTTATCTTTTATAATGAGTGAGTGAGTGAGTGAAGTCGCTCAGTCATGTCTGACTCTTTGCGACCCAGGCTCCTCCATCCATGGGATTCTCCAGGCAAGAATACTGGAGTGGGTTCCCATTTCTTTCTCCAGGGGATCTTCCCATCCCAGGGATCGAACCGAGGTCTCCCGCACTGCAGGCAGACGCTTTAACCTCTGAGCTACCAGGGAAGCCCCATCTTTTATAATAGCTGTTAGTAAAATTAAACCTAGTGTCACAGGATCCCTTTTCCCCAAGAGAGCACTGTATGTTCTCCCCAGAGTGGTGCTTCAGGTCTCAGACGGTAAAGGTTAGATTTTCATGCCATCAACATGGGTCTGGGAAGCTTTCCCATATTTCCCTTCCTCTCAAGAAATCTATTTGCTGTTCTCTTTCCCAGGTGAATATTCTGTACAGTGAGCTTGTGGAAGCACTAGATAGAAACAAGGGCTCAGCTTTTAATGAAGAGTGAGAACTGCTGGAACAAGATATATACACTGGCAAGCTGACAGCAACTTGAAGATGCGTGGTTCTAAGATGTTGAATGTTTAAATTCTTAACAAACTTGCTGTTTTGCTTGTTTTCTCCTGCTCTGTTTTCATGTTGTTAAGTGAAATTTCCAAAAATAAAAGCATTTTGACTTTTACTGTTGTGACCAGCTCATTTCTCAGGAACAAATGATTTTTACAAAGTGCTAAGGAACATATATATATTGGGCTTTCCTGGTGGCTCAGACGGTAAAGAATCTGCCTGCAATGCAGGAGACCCAGGTTCAGTCTCTGGGCTGAGAAGTTCCCCTGGAGGAGGAAATGGCAACCCACTCCAGTATTCTTGCCTGGAGAATTCCATGAACAGAGGAGCCTGGAGGGCTACAGTCCATGGGGTTGCAAAGAGACACAATAGAGCAAGTATTGAAATAGCCCATGTGAGAGCAAGATGATTCATGCCCCATGTGAACAAAAGGGAATGTTCATCCTGATTCAATACAGATTGCATTTCATTCGAGAAGTGCTCTAATTCCCAATACCTGAACATAACAGAGAACCATAGACTTTTCATCAGATGGACCTTAGTGGTCTGTGGGCCCAGCATTAATCAGATTTCATGAAATTTATGACATCCTTGTGACTTGGTTGTCCAGGCTCTATCAGAACATATCCTGACAGCAAACACAATCCTGAGACAATGCAGTCCACCATTTTTTGGTAATTGGTAAAATACACTTCCTCATACTGAACAGAAATTTGTCTCATAGCAAGTTTGCTTCCTGTTCCCCCTATCATCCTGGCTTTTTTCTTCTGGTTATACGTCCTCAGACTTTCTCACCTGTTCCTCATATGATGTAGTTACCTCACCTTTCCCAGAGCCAAAGCCCATGTTCCAGTGAGGTCTGACCCACACAGTTCACAGCAATGTCATTCTGGCTAGAGTTGCATTAGTGTACTGTAAGATTACACTGACTTTTTTCCCTAGTTGGTTTGTATTAACATTTATTAACTTAACATTTTGAAATAGTTTCATACTCACAGAAAAGGTGCAAATTGCTACATACCCTTTACCCAGAGTCCCCATTTGTTAATATTTTAGCACATTGCCTTACCATTTTCTGTGTTTCTTTCTGAATCATTCAAGATTAATTTGCAGACTTCTCACTCCATTACCCCTTTGCCACATTGTGTATTTCCTAAAAACAAGAATACTATTCTCCCAAATGACCACAGTACAGCGATCAATATTAGAAAATTCACAATGATACAATTCTACCACCTAATCCACAGACTCCTTTCAAATTTCATTGATTGTCTTAATAAAGTCCTTTATAAGTTCATGATCATAAGTTGCTTTTAGATGTCATGTCTCTCATCTGCAAACCAAAAGTTTCTCGGTCTTTCCTGATCTTTCATGACCTTGACAGTTTTGAAGAGTATAGGCTAATTACTTTGTAACATGAACCTCCCCTTCGGTGTAGCTGGTGTTTCCTAATGATTAATTTATACATTTTGGTAAGCACACCACAGAAGTGGTGTGTTCTCGGTGCATCATACCAACAGACACACAATGTCAGTTTGTTTCATTGATGGGTAAAGTTAAGACAATGTCTACCATATTAATAATTCATAAGTAATTATGAAGTATCTTGGAAGATACTTTAAGATCAAATATCCTGTTCCTCATTAAACTCTCACTCACGAGTTTTAGCATCCACTGATGACTCTTGCCTGAATCCATTTTTACTGTGATGGCTACTAAATGTTGATTTTTTTTAACATTTTTATCATTCCCTCTTCATTTATTAGTTGGCATGTGTAAAGAAGAGCATTCTCTCCTTATTTATTCATATTTTTAAAATACATTTTAGTATAGACTAATGGATTCCTATCTTATTCAATGTTACAATACACTATTACCACTATTTTGCTACTTAAAGCTGCCTCCTATGTCCTTTTGACACTTCCCCATCATTCACTAAACAATTCCTTGCTGCTGCTAAGTCGCTTCAGTCATGTCCGACTCTGTGCGACCCCATAGACAGCAGCCCACCAGGCTCCACCATCCCTGGGAGTCTCCAGGCAAGAACACTGGAGTGGGTTGCCATTTCCTTCTCCAGTGCATGAAAGTGAAACGTGAGAGTGAAATCATTCAGTCGTGTGACCGACAGGCAAGAGTACTGAAGTGGGTTGCCATTGCCTTCTCCAAAACAATTCCTTACTCTGTGACAAAATAAGATGTTGCAGGCTTGTCTTGTACTTTCCCTGCTCCTGCACCGGAATCAGTTATTTCTCCAAGGATCCGGTATTCCTTTTAATGGAGAATGGTAGTTATTATCCAAGATCTGAGTGCTAGGTGTACTCATTAGTACTAGGGTGCAATTGTTTCTACAGCCTCTCAGTGGACAGAATTAGGAAATAAATGTGTGGGTGTATACATACCTACAGGTAAATGTGTGTTCTGCTAAGTCTCTTCAGTTGTGTCCGACTCTTTGCGACCTTATGGACCGTAGCCCACCAGGCTCCTCTGTCTGTGGACTTCCCCAGGCAAGAATACTGGAGTGGGTTTCTGTACCCTCTGCCAGGGGATCTTCCTGAACCAGGGATCTAACCTGAGTCTTATGTCGCCCACATTGGCAGGTGAGTTCTTTACCACTAGCGCCACCTGGTGAATATATGTATATATAAAACTTCATACTGATAAGAACATACTGATAACTTACTGAGTTCATACTGATACTTCCATTTCAATCCAACACCAGAGGGTTTATTCTAGTCTTCCTCCTTTTCCATATTTTCAACTATCTTTGCCAACATTGAGAAACCTGACTCCTATTAACTTCAAATATTCACTTATTTGCTCAACCTCCCTGTTTGAGAACAATCTCCCAGTCAGGCCTCAGTCCTAATGCCACCATACTGACCATGAGGGCCGCCCCTTCAGCCAAAAAGCCTTGGCAAACACTAGCCAAGTCATCAGCCAAGCTCGCGGCCCAGGGAAGGAGCAAGCTGAGTCCCTTACCGGGCACCCCACCAAAGGGAAGGGCAAGGAAGCACATTTACATTTAAGCAGGCATTTCATGTTGTTGACTCACGAGACTTATTGTTTACTCTCCCCAGTGTTCACCTTGGGTTTTTTCCTATTTAGTTTTTGAGAAGTCAGCTCAAGTGTCAGTTCCTCAAAGAAACCTTTCTCAACCAGGTCAGGTTCTCTTGTCATATGCTGTCTTAGTGCTCTGTTTTATTCTTCATAGTTTGTAGATAACATATTTCCTTGTGGACTAATTTGATTAACATCTGTCTCCCTCAATAGTCTTTAAGCTGCAGAAGGGCAGACAGTGTGTATATCCCAGTGTCTAGCACAGTTCCTGGCACTTTCAATTGTTAATGAATGAAAACTAAGTTTATTTTTTTTAATATATCCTATTAATTGATGTCTCAGCTTGTACTTCCAGTCTAAGTGCATTTATCACTATTAAACTGCTCTCATCAGTTGTTCTTTTTAAAATTTCTATCTTTGTTACAGTGTTATCCCTCTCAGACCCACATTATCTGCATATTTCATCAGTGCACTACCTTATGTCTTCATCCAAGTAGGTGAAAAGATGTACTTAATAGGGAAGGGCTGAGACAAAGCTTGGTGACAGGCCTTGCAGTCCTACCCACAAGTTTGTTCATTCATGCAACACTTTCTAAACACTTTCTACTATGTATTGGACATGGTTATAGGTACTGGGGATAAAGTCATGAATAAATTAGAGGACAAGGTTTCTCCTTCAAGGAGCTTACATCCAAGTGGAGGTGACAGACAAGTTAGTATATAAATAAACTTTGATCCATTAATTAGCAGACTTTGGGATGATCACTCACTCATTCCATAATTGTACTATCTACATTTTCCCAACTTTTTCACAAGGAAAAAGTCACACATGAGTGGCTGTCAACGCCTTGATGGATCAGATACACTATGTCTACAATGTTCCCCAGCTTTACCCATTTATATATGCTCACCTCATTTCAGAAAAGCAAATGAACTTTGTCTTGTACTCTTCTTAGGTAGAGTTTTATAAAACCTTTGTGATCACTACTTCTCTTCCAGGTCTCATGCAAACCATCCTTTCCCATAACATAGAAACTTGGATTAAGATGAAATTTGCCTATCTAAAGCTTATGAAACCTACCATCCTCCCTTTAAAAAGGAGTATTTGTCCTTCGCTAGGCTACCAGCATTTTTCTTGTTCCCCATGGTTACAAACACCAGTGCAATGATCTCATCTACAGGTTCTTTCAACATCCTGAAATACAACCTGTCTCAGCCAGGAGACTCAAAATCATTTAAAGCACTCTGATGCTTTCCTATAATTTTCTTATTTACTATGATCCTCAGTTCCCTCTTTACCAATGTCTGCTTGACCCTTTCCAGTCTAATGGACAGAGTTTGTGTGGTGGAGAAGACTAGAGCAAAGGAGGAATTAAAGAGGTTGTCTGTCAACATTACACCATTTCATTTTTTACCCTGTGGTACTACTGGAAGTCTTTTTACATGTGTTTATATTACGTTTAAAATTTTAAAAAACTAATTCTAACTAAAACATACTATTCTGCCCCAACTTGTAGACTTCATATCCTCCTTGATTTGCTTCTTGATGCAAACAAACTGAAAACAAGCCTCTTTTTCTTACTCCTAGCATTAGCTCATTTGGGGTCAGGCCTTCCTGATATAATTTTGACAGCTCCTTGTTACTATTTTATATTCATCTTTGGTCAGATGCCCTCTCTCCACCTTTTAAATGTCTCATCATCAAAGAACTCCTTCATTTACATCATTTTCTTTCCATACTTTTATTTTTAATTCTTCATTAAAATACTCCACAATTATAAGGTCAGAATTTAGCTTCTAAGAGCTTTAAAACCCTTTTGGAAGGGCAGTTGAGTAGAAAGTGCAGGAAAACTAACAGTGACTATATCCCTACTAAGCACGGAGCCCTTCATGTGTGCCATCCCATCTAATTGTCACAACCCTGGGAAGGAGGTGGTGTGACTCTATTGTTGCTGTTCCTTCCTTCTTTCCTTTCTTTCTCCCTCCTTCCCTGTCATTCTGTGGGCAACAGGCTAAGAGAGTTTTAAGTCACTTGATTTCAACGTCACATGGCAGGTAAATGGCAGAGCTATGATTAAAAGCTAGATCTATTAGGCCCCTGCTCTTTCTTTGCCCTCATGCTACCTTTTCTCTGAACCATCTGAAATCTGCCTTAAATTCTAGAGCAAAATACCTTACTATGTCCAGCCTTATGCTGTCAAAAATCCAGAGCTATTATGGTTACTCTTCGTTTCCATTTCACTAATCAGTTCTGTTATTGGTCAGAACTAGGTCATGGAGAGCAAACAGTTTGCTTGTGGATTTACTTTCCAAGGGGAAATAGTGTCAGCAAGACAAGTAAAATATTTCAAAATGTTCTGCTTTTAAGCAAATGAAACAATAGAAACCCTGAACAAAATACCTCATTTCTGCTTAATCTTGCCCAATGCCATTTTTGTGATCTGTTGTCAGGAATACATAGCCATTTCCCCCATTTTGTAAAGTGCTGTGTGACATGCTTACAC